CTAATCTCCTCACTGGTGCACTTGTTGGAGGGCCTGATGCCTATGACAATTTTGCTGATGAAAGGGACAACTATGAACAAACAGAGCCTGCTACCTATAACAACGCTCCTATTCTCGGTGTATTGGCACGATTAAGTGGTGGTCATGGTGCCTACAATCAGCTATTTCCAGGTAAAGAGCTATGTTGCCACTCTCAAATATTTTGATAATTGGTATCTCCCATTTGTTTCGTTTATTGTGATAAGTAATTTCATCAATCATAATTATCTTGACTTGACAAAGGATTTCTTGATTTTCTGCAGAGGTTGTGCCGGCTCCTAGAACTGCTGTCACCAAAACAAAACCAGCACCAGTACCCAAACTAAGTCCAAATCCAGGTATATTTCTGCAGAGGATTTTAAGGATTATGTTGGTTACCCTTTGTTAATTGAGGCATGGGATCTAACTTGAGGAATTTTTTGTGCAGTCTCATCTCCTAGCGAAATCGCTGTAGAACAGAAGATGACAACCTCCTGGAATTCAAAGGGAAAAACTTACTACAGATATTCAACAATTGTAACTAACAAGTCTGCCAAGACTCTCAAGGATCTCAAGCTTTCAGTCTCAAAGCTTTATGGTCCTTTATGGGGTCTCACAAAATCTGGCGATGCTTATACTTTTCCATCGTGGATGAACTCTTTAGCAGCTGGGAAGGGTATGGAGTTCGTATACATTCATTCTGCTTCTGCTGCTGATGTCTCAGTTTCAAGCTACACTTTGGCATAATTAAGCAAGAAAACCACAAAAGAGAATGAAGTCTTTCTGAGATTATGACAAAAGTTTGTGCAGCAAATACACAAAGTGCTCCTGGAAAGGTTTTTCGTTTTTTGGTTTTTTGGGGAATTTTCAGGGTGCCAAATGATAGCACAGGTAAAAATAAGGTTGAAGATGTGAGGATGAAAGGAGCGAAGAGATGTTTTAAAAAAAGAGTGCTCATCCTCTTTCTCCTCCTCTTTACTAGTTGAATAGATAAGATTTGAGAGTTAAAAGAGAGAGAAGAGAAGAAAAATGACTTCTCAATATAGTTTGCAAAGTGTTATTTTCCTGTTCTATAGAGTTAGCACTTTTAATGTCTGTTTACTGTTTTGAAGTTGTGATGTTGTAAGCTTTGCAGCATTTTATGTTTTTCCATATGAATATAGATTTTGTAACTTCTATTTTAAGTAAATAAAGCTTCAAATGCTCCAAAATACCTGAAAAAAACAAAATACTCAGTCCTAATGCTCTAATCTTGAAAAGAGAAGGCAAAGGGTTAGATCAGCCCTTATGCTAAAGTTATCAAAATACTATTAATAAATATGCATGAAAAGAATTTTATTAATAATATTTTGATAATTTAATCCTTATTGCACTTTTTTGTGTAATTCATATTGAATAAAACATTTTTGATGTTTTAGATTGCAATAGATTTTTTGAGTTTCAACAAGTTTTATTTAGGGGTGGGTATGGTTTGATTTTAGTTGCTATTGAACTCAAATTACTAATTAACAGAATTTTTAAGTTACTAAAATTTTTAAATTATTAACCTAATAAAAAAGTTTGGTTTAATGATTCCGGTTAGTTTTGTTGAAAATGCCTATTGTATTAGTTTGATTTTGATTTTAACCAAAAAAAAAATTCTTATATATTTTTAATATTTTTAATTGTTATTTTATTAAATTTAATTATTAATAACTAAAAATTAAGTGGATAAAGAAATAATTTAATAAAAAATAATGAGAAAATTTTAAAAAATTTAAAAATTATTGAAATTTTTATATTAAAAATCTTAAGTTAACCTTTTTAATTATACTTATCTTTGTTGTATATATTTTAAAAATTTTAAATCTAACAATTAAAAACCAAAACAGTGAGATCCATTTTAGTTCGAATTCTAGTAAATAAAAAAAAAAAAAGAAGAAAAATTCCAAAACCGATCAAACTATTTTGTCGTTTATGATTTTTTTTTTTTAAACTGATTTGTCGTTTATGATTATAGATTTTTTGGTTGTGATCAATTCCGCCGATGCGGCCCATCCCTTGATCCATCCTTTCGGTGATCGCCTATTAGCCTTACCATATTTTTAAGAGCAGTACTAGGGGCACTCGCCTCCTGCACTCTCCGGCCAACACTTCCACTTTCATTGGGCCACGTATTTTTTTGAAACGCAACCTTTCAGCAAAATAACGTGGCCCAATAAAAATGGAAGTGCTGCCGGAGAGTCCAGAAGGCGAGTGCCCCTAGCACTGCTCTTTTTTTTAAAAAAAAAATTTAATCCTTTTCATTAGTTTATAATATACTTGAAGTTGTTTCCGTGGTCGCATTTATCATTCATAGCCGACTTGACCCCTTCAAAATTTGCAGAGATACAGACCGAGCGTAAGAGGAGAGCAAACAAGATCCGGATCGCTGGTGGGTGAAGAAAACCGAAATGGAGGAGACTGAATTAGTGAGTTTATGCTTAGAAGCAGCTTGCAAGAGCGAAGAGAGCGTGGAAAAGTGGCGGAGGCAGAGGAGAACTCTCGAGCGCCTGCCGTCTCACCTCGCGCAATCTCTCCTTCAGCGCCTCCTTCATCGCCGTCTCCTCTTTCCTTCGTTACTCGAGTACGTTTTTCTCTACCTTTTTCAGCTTAAGAATTTTGGTTACTGAAATTAGAGAATCAGGATTCTTCAGCTTGTAAGAGTTGGATCGATATGTGAAAGTATTAGAGGAGATCTCTTTGTTTTCTATTTCATTTGATTCTTTTCTTGTTTGGTTCCGATGCGAGTGTGATGAGAAATTTTTAGAGAGTTCGAATTTCAGTCTTGTTGCTGTTTTGAATCTAAACAGGACCGAGATGAAATTCGTTATTCGAATTCTATATTTCAGAGTTAGAATTAATGAATTTTAGTTTTGGTATTGAACTTTTTCTAGTCTTGCTGGAGAAACTGGAAAAGTTTCCCTGGCCGCTAAATTACTTGGATCGGAATATAATTGAATGAAATAAATTACTGAGATTCAAGATATCATTGCGTTGTTGTTTGCTTGATGTTTGAGCTTCCGATTTAAGTTTTAGTAGCTTATTTTTTGTTTCTGCTTCGGAAAATCAAATTAAAAGCTAATGAGAGACCTTAGTTTTATCTTCAGGTCAACTTCTCTTCTTTATAATGGATATGAATTTTAGCCGGATTCATGTTGTTTAAGTGCCTTGCAGTTTAAATTTCCTTTTGTTTCTTCTTTCAAATAGTAGCATTCCTCTGCTAGCTATGAGTTAGCAATGATTATGGTTGTTAAAGTTTATAGGCATGGTCTATTTTGACCTAACATTTATCTTGCAGAGTTTTCAAATATAGCATGGAGGAGATAGATCTGAGAGGTCAGAACTCTGTTGATGCAGAGTGGATGGCATATATAGGAGCATTCCGATATCTACGCTACCTCAGTCTTGCAGATTGCCATAGAGTCACTAATTCTGCCCTTTGGCCTATAATAGGTAAGAATCAATAGAACATGAATTAGGAAATTAGTTTTCTCAGTAATCTACGTGTGAAATCTCTTCATATAAATGGTACTCCATTGATAAAAAGTCAAATTCGGAAAGAGATTCCGTATCATTTCTTTCACAACTCGTTTCGCTAACCTTGGTGGAAAAGGTTCTCAAAATTTTTTCCACTTTTACCCAAGTTATTTAGTGTTGGGCATTTTTAACACAAGTTCTGTGTCACCTGGTTTAGGGATGGCCTGTTTAAAAGAACTGGACCTCTCTAGATGCACAAAGGTTACTAATGCTGGTGTCAGGCATCTTATATCAATTTCGACTTTGGAAAAGTTATGGGTTTCAGAAACTAGGATAACCGCAGATGGTGTTGCACTTCTCTCTTCACTTGAAAACCTATCTGTACTGGACTTGGGTGGTTTACCTGTCACTGATAAGGCACTGAATTCTCTCCAGGTACTCAACTTTTCAGCAATGCATCCGTAATGTTTCAGTAGCTCTTTTTGCTCAACCCTCTTTTTGCAGAATCTGGCCACCACTTGCCTGCTCAATTTACCTTGTACAGATGGGGAGATCCTCTCTCAAGTTGGTTATTGTTTTTAATTTTGTTACACGTGATACTCCATATTCCCTAGTCCTTGTCAAATCTTATAGATGAATTGGGTAATCTTTTGTGGAGCCTGTTAATAATTGATCATTAATTTAATAATTTTATAAATACTTTGTTTGATAAGGTCTCAATTGTTGTTTGATTTTGTTCCCAAGTTAATGGCAGATGAAATTATTTGTAAAAACTAGATGATCTCAGTTACCTGTCCTTTCAGAGCTACTGTCGAATGTAGTTATCAATCTCTGCTTATGGTTAATTGTTTTACATTTCAAAAGATTGCTTTGGTCAACTTAAAACTACATCAGAAGTTTTTCCACGTTCAAATGATTTATGAGTTCTTTTGTTGTTCTAGCTGCTTACAAAGCTTGAGTACCTAGACCTTTGGGGGAGTAAAATCTCTAACGGTGGGGTTGGAGTTCTTCAAAGCTTTCCCAAGTTGAGCTTCCTCAATCTAGCTTGGACCAGCATTACAAACTTGCCTGATCTGTCAGCCCTTGAATGCTTAAACATGAGTAACTGTACTATCAACTCTGTACTTCATGGTACTGGCGATAAAGCTCCTTTAACGAAGCTTATTTTCTCTGGAGCAACTTTCATAGATGGGGCTGAAACCTTTTTATATATGGAAAAGAGTTTACTACTGTTTCTGGATATATCCAACTCTTCCCTTCATAGATTCAGCTTTTTATCATATATGGAAATGCTAGAACATTTGGATCTCAGCTCTAGCATGTTGGGAGATGATTCTGTGGAACATATTGTTTGTATTGGAGCCAATCTGAGATATCTAAACCTCAGCAGCACAAAAGTGAGCTCCACTGGAGTAGGGGTTTTAGCTGGACATGTTCCCAAACTTGAAATTTTATCTCTGTCTCACACATCAATAGATGATATGGCTCTCTTGTATATTGGCATGATGCTCTCACTTAAGGTTGTTGACTTAAGCAATACAAACATTAAAGGTAGAATCTTCACTACAAATATCATTATCATTGCCTTCATTTGAAGAGTCATTCAGTTGGCAGATTGTAATGTTCAATAATCATTAAATGTACATGGCTATGGCATTTCCATCTCTACTTTCAGGTACTATTCCTGTGGAAGGCATGGATTGCCAGATGGTCAGCTCACTGGCAGCCCTGCAAAATCTTGCTTGTTTGGAGAGGTTAGTTTTGGAGCAGACAAAAGTTAGGGATGCAGATTTGAGCCCTTTATCAAGCTGCAAAGAGCTGAGCCATTTATCTCTCAATTGCGCTTCCCTTACAGATGCTACACTCCACCTCTTAGCATCTCTTCCGAGGCTGACATACCTGTCCATTTGTGAGGCTGTGTTGACAAACAGTGGCCTGGATTCATTTACACCCCCAGCAGCTCTGAGAGTGCTGGACCTAAGGGATTGTTGGCTCTTAACTGAAGATGCTGTCTCACTATTCTCAAAAAAACATCCTCAAATTGAGGTAAGGCATGAAGCTGTTCCTCTCCTTTCATCAGAACTAGTCAGTTCTAATCGAGCATCTCTGTCACAACCATCTTCGAGGACTTCCCGAATGAAGAGTAAACAGAAAAACATGCCTCTTTCTCAGTTTTTTATAGGTGGGAAAAACTTGTATTTCAACTTTTCTGCCACTGGTCGTTTATCTATTTTCATCTAATTATCTCTGTTCTGTAAAATAGATCAAAGATTGAAGTACAGCAGAGAAGAGCTACTTGCACTACAGTATTCCTTTTTGTCTCTAAACTCACCAGATGATACAGGTATTATTTTATCAGAGTTGCAATTAGATCCAATAAATTAACTTTGACATATGTTGTGCAGCATATTTTTGTATTGTAGCTGAGAACAAACAACTTTTAAGTAACTTCTCTTTTCCAATACTAATTGTCTGAATGCAGAATGAATCAATGAGCAAGCTAAGGTAAGATTTTAATTGCATTTTTATCTGTTTGGTACATATTTTGTGTGTGTGTGTGTGTTTTTTTTTTTCTTATTTGCATTCTCTCGAGATGTGCATACAACAGGTAAGGTTAGTAAAATCCATGGTCTCTGCGGCAGCAGATATTGGGTGTTGCAGTGAACCGATATTGTATATTGCTGTTGAGTAGTTAACATAAACCATTCACATGAGATAACTCCTGATCACGGTAGCATAAGAAATTCTGCAGCTTAATTTAAATGATTCTTAGGTCTCATTATATTTTCCTTCTCCCCTTCTTTATGGTCTTGTGATGCCTGTGGGGCTGGGGGAGACGCATCTATATGGTCAGGTGTCATCAGATTTGAACTTTTGTGGGTAAACATCATACCAAGGACTACTAACAAGTGCTTGATTAAGTTAGTACCCACTAACTTAAAAACTTTGATTCTAGGGGAGACGCATCTATATGGTCAGGTGTCATCAGATTTGAACTTATGTGGGTAAACATCATACCAAGGACTACTAACAAGTGCTTGATTAAGTTAGTACCCACTAACTTAAAAACTTTGATTTAGAATCAAAGTTAGAGGTTCAAACTTCTGTGATGCCAAGTTGTAAATGTTCTGATATACCCAAAAAATCATACCAATGACTTCTTATCTTGCTACAAGCCCAAGCCTTCGGGGTATCTTTTAGCAACATTCATCCTTTTTATTTTATAGTCTTGGGCAACATTCATCCTTATCATCATTTTTATTTTTTGGCCATCCATCGTCACCAAGCCGCTCAGGACCTGCCACGGACCACAGGCCACCCCTAACGATTGTAGATCCCAGGCCAACCCCGGAGCTCGTAGGTTCTAGGTTACTTCTAGAGCTGCCTGTGTGTCGTGAGCCACTTTGGATCCTAGGTCACATTGTGACCCGAGCTGTTCTAAATCCCAAACCATTAAAGTTACCTCAGACGTGAGTTCGTCTCAAGCCATTTCAAATCCCAGTTTATCCCCCGAGTCGCCTAGACCTGTGGTGGCCCTAATTTCTGGAATGGAGCTAAAGGATGTTTTTTCAAATTATATACTTCTTTTGCTATGATTTAGTTGCTTTAATTTAATTAGATTATTTTATATGATAAATAAATAACAATTGAAATTTTTTTTATACTTTATTTTTATTAAATAATTTTATTTTGATCAAATAATTTTTCAATTATTATTTATTGATTATATAAAATTATTAAATTAATTTACATAAGGCTAAGGGACTACAACAATTAAATTAAAAACACATTGGGGGTAGTTTTTAAGAAGACAGAAAGGTGTATTTTGACACTGATTTTTAGATTGGTAATTTTTTCTTTTTTAAGAGGTAGAACTGACAAAGACTTATAAAATAGAATGTAAGTAGCATACACAATAGAGTTTACAAGAATTCAAGCGACGAGTGATGTTTTTCTTTTAATTTTCATCTCGACCAAGGAGTGGATGCTCTGCATGGATACACCAATAGATCCATGCGAGGCAAATAGGCAGCCAATCGGAGCCTCAAGATCGAATTGTGCGAAGGTTCAATTTTCTACTCACCCCAACATTGAGACAACGAAATCATGCCACTGAGAATGATTAAAGCCAATTTTACAGCATGGAATGAAATCAATTCTAGAAAATTTACTTTTTGACCTATAACTATGAGTTCTTTACATAGCCATATGTACAATATGTGTATATATATATATATATATACACATATATATAACAAAAGGTTTTATTGCTTCATTTATGAGAAAAACCTACTTTAGCACTTTGAAGTCATGCACTGGACTTGCCACCACTCTTGTACATGTTATCAATAACATTCTGTCCAAAAGAAATTCGGATTAGAATATGCAGAATGAACCGAATTTTCTTTTGTTTTTTTCATGAATGAATGTCTGCTTACACTCTGGCCATGGGCAAATATAAAATGCATGTTTCTTTTAGTTCTCCAAAGGGAGTTTAGATCCCAAAACAAGAGGGAGATTTCATGCCATCTATAATTTCAATTTTAAATCCATTTAAACATATCAGTTCACTACAATATTCTTTCAAAAA